TTGTATTTCTAATGTAGGGCGTTTCTATAGGTGTTAACTACTTTACTAAGGGTTGACGAGGCCTCGCGGTACAGCGCTAGACTGCTTATCCAAGAGTTTCGAAATAGGGTTCAAATCAGTGGAACATCCACACAGTTCTGACGAGTACCTAACTCACGTTAGGAAAAAAAAGGCAGCTGTGCATTGTACTGACCACGCTATCTCCTCATATGCCGAGGTCTCTAAAGTAGATGAACTCTAATTCATCTGCCCCATGTGTCTTGAGCACGAACGGGAATTAATGATGATGATGATGATGATGATGATGATGATGATGATGATGATAATGATGATGATGAATATGATGATGAAGATGATGATGATGATGATAATGATGATGATGTTGATGATGACGATGTTGATAATGATGATGATAATGATGATGGCGATGATGATGAACTACTTAACTGATATTCTTCGCTCTCAAACCCGTTTTATATAGTCCAATTGGATACCAGCAAAAAAGTACTCACGCTATGTCGTCACCAAACGGGTCCCGGTCCCCTAACGTGTTCATGATGACCACACGTGGTCTCCAGATGTCCTCTGGGACCGGATGTATAAGGTCCTGTCCTCCATATTGGTCCTCGTCCCATTTTAGCATCTGAAAAATTATCGTTTTCGCTAGTGTTCTTTAATCTTTTTAAACACTTAAAAAACATGTAGTTATTATTTAATAAAAATTCAAATTATCGAATATTTGGAAGCATTACTTTATTATAAAAAATTCTAAATACATTACTATTTGATTTATTAGAATCATTTGTTTTGTTTTTAAAATAATCAATAACTCTTTGATCCAACACACACTCCATTAAGCGAATTTAGCGCTAATATTTGTTCACTAGGGGCGGTCACTAGTCTGTACCAGACCGAGGTTAAATGTTTACATCACGTGTCTATGAGTCAGCACTATTCTAAATAAATTAAGGTAAGGGATTTGCTGGGTTTATTTTCAATAATACATTTCATAAACCATGACACAAGAATTTTAATAACTTTCACTATTTGTTATAATCAATACAGTCTCCTTAAAGTTCTTTTATGAAGTCATATTTTGTGTAAAGACTTTTAAGTTTAAAAAAGTGAAATTGTAGTGTGCAAGTTCCCTAACAAATACAGAATCGATTTGTTCATTTAGCTCAAGTATTGGGCTTTGTTACTGTAATTGGTTGCCTTTATAAATTATAATATTATGCAACAAATCTTTAACACAATACTGATGAAAACAGAGCACTGTTTTCATGTTAAAGACAATAACAGCTGTTTTCGCTTTGACTGATTGTTATTTCGACGTGTCTTTTGAAATTGTAAATGAAAAAATGGAAAACAAGAGCGAACTAAATTCACCAATTTTAACACGCACTTTTCCGAACTCCAAAACCAAGGGCTAAGAATTGACCATAAAATTCTCATCAGAACAGTACCTATCTAGGAAATCTCTTCTCTTTATACACCTACAAGGTAACTCGCTTTTTTTAAAATGATTTTTGTTGCGTGTTAAAAGAAAGCCAATGTATTAAAATACCTAGTATTTTAGTACGACCATATTCGCAATAACTGATTTTTCGTGTTATGCATGTTTTTTGAGTATCTTAATGTTTTTATATATTATGTTCTTTTTTTTTAAATAATGTGTATCTGAGAGTAGGAAGGCAACTCACCTCATCTACCCAGACTAATCCCAAAAAACCGTTACATACAAAACTCTGCTGGACGTCATCTAACTCAACCACAGACACCAGCTGAAACGTCACATCAACAGACATCGTTTTAGTTTGGTTCCAGAGCGGCTTGACCTTTGTGTTATACCTGGCACTGTTCAGCACGTCGTTAAAAATATCCATGGTCTCATTGTAAGTCTGGCACTCAACGTGTGTACAGAAACCAAAAACTAATAAGCTTAAACCACATTTTAAAATTTTACTGTAAATATCCATGTTAAGACTACGGATGAGTATATATGTCTTCCAAGTTTACAACAAGATCACTCTCAAGACTAGCATAAACGACACTAACGTGCATTGTTCTATAGTTTACACTTTTTATACCTCTAGTCTAAATTTAGAAACAGTATTCAAATTGTAATCTTCAAACGCTATGATTGGTCTGAGTACATCAATATGTTTATTTTAAATCATTGGCGTTGCCATGAGAACAACTAGAGTAAACTGGGCAGGAAATTCAGTGCTGCTATATTTTAATTTTTTTTTTCATAAAAAACGTTTTAATAACAAGCTTTTATGTACTAATGCACTAAAAAGTAGAAAATAAATTATAGACTACTGTTTAAATAACTATAAAGAAAAGCGTGGGCCACTTTAGTATCCAATGGATACCTTCACTATTGTTTAGGAAGAGACCCACGCTTTTCTTTATAGTTATTTAAATAGTAGTGATTTATGTACTTTAAACATTAATAAATTAATAAGTCATAATAAAAAATACTTGTCAGTTGCAGTTATTCTTGAAGAGGTAGATGTATGTTTAAGTTTTATTTTTAATTTATTTAAAAAAAAATATTATCCTGGCTGCTAGAAAAGTAATGAAATATTAACTTGCATATTTGATGATCAGATGAGTAGATGAAGTAGTGTTCACCTGTTTTTGCGTCAACACTATGCCAATCCATCTTCGCCTTTCTTAACGTGATATATCGCCTGCATTATAGCTTGGTGGTTTTGATTTAGCAGTCTTGAACAGTTGGTGTATTAAGGACGTGTGTGGCGCCTTACTGGAGCTCAGCTCAAGATGTTCCCACCCCGGTTAATGAATACTACACATACATAAGAGACTTTGTGTCTGAGATATTTTGTCTAATGTATTTAGTCTGAGAACTTGTCCATATCTTTTGTCCTGAATTATTTAGTCTGATATATTTGGTCAGATATATTTTGTCTGAGATATGTTGTATGAGGTATTTTGTATTAATATATTTTGTCTGAGATAATTTGTCCTTAGATATTTTGCCATGCAAATATTTATGTAATGGTGAAATCCGATAATAAAATCTCTTCCAAGTCAACATTTGGACTCAACGATTATCTTGATACCACGTGACGGATGTACCGAGTTAGAACACGTGCACTGTGTACTAAGCAAACATGCACCTAGCTGTTGTAAATATTTGCAATGGTATAGTATAATTAGAGCAGATCGAGCCAGTATGAGTGAAGCCAGCCGTACAATTCATTACCACACCACTTTACTCCCATTATATAAATGTATCGTTATAGTTGTGGTCCGAGCTTTCATTATTCACTCCCATATTTAAAATGTCCTAAGTCAGAATGGGACGGCTTGGCTTAGCGGAAGGGCGCTAGACTCGAGTTTGAATGCGGGTTCACTTCAGTATAGGTCCTTGAGTTTACCCAGCTCTAATGGGTACCTAACTTACGTTATGGAAAATTAGGGCGGGTGGGCATAGTGCTTACCACACTATTCCTCATACGCTAAGGTCACTGACACTCAGTATGCGTCCCTGAGTCCACCCAGCTATAATGGGTACGTAACTTACGTTAGGGAAAATTAAGGCGGCTAGGCATAGTGCTGACTACACTATTCCTCATACGCCAAGGTCACTGAAACAGATGAACTCTACTTCATCGGCAATATATGTCTTGGGCACGAACGGGAAAAGATGATGATGATGAAATCAGAATTAATAAGACAAACATAGTCATCAAAGCTACATTTTATAGTTGCTTCAACACATTTTGACATGTGTTATAGAATACTTCTTTGTTTAGCACACCAAGGTGAGTATCAAGATAGAACTTAATAAACATTTACAAATGCCGTAATGAGAATAACGCCAACGAAATCATATACACCGGTGTCGACCTAAACATTGTACATGATTAAGCACCTTTAGAGGTGTGCCTACAAATCAGTGAACTACCATTTATAAACATGGCTGCCAACGAGATTTTTATCAGGGGAAATTATTCTTAAATCAATTGCATTATTTTTTTTAAATCTGAAAGCTTCACAAATACATCGATGCGTTTACAAAGTCCACATTTAATTGAAGTCTAATAGAATGCACTTGTAAAGCTATCGAGACAGTATTTAATTACCATAAAAATCGTGTGTTTTGTGAATAAAACGATGTAATTATAAAACATGATTTTGCGTTTTTTTATAATTTAAAATCATTTAGCGTGTCGAAAAGTATTCATATTTTTTGGAAACTAACTAAATGAAATGTGAAAACAAAATTCAAATCTAAAAACCATTTATGATTAATGGAATTCCTTTTAATACAAGTAATGATCTCCAAATGTCTAAGAGATTTTGTAAACAATAAAAATAATAATACATGATTAAACATAGCTCTTTGTTCTGTACAAAAAAAAATTAATTAAAAACGGAATTAATTATTAATAATAAAGGCATACTTATTATAGCATTGATGCCGTTCTAAATTTAAAATCCTTTATTTATAATATTTAAAGCATGATAATAAAACGTGATTTTAAAGCACTATTTTTTCAATTGTTATGGTCAACCATAATTTAAGCAAAGATTGTCTGTTTTACCATGTGAGACATTAAACATAAAACAATAAACATTCGTATAAATTGAGCAAAATAAGTGAAGCAACTGGCATACAATTGTAAAGAGAGTTACTGTTTATATCACCTATATTTGAGTCTCAAATCACATGCAGATAATTTGTTTGCTTATGGATATTGTTTACTGATCGGGCAATAGCTAGGAATGTTTATATTTATAAGACTGTCGTTTAAAAAAATGAAGGTTCTAAAATTGTAAGCCTATTACTTATTTTAGGCCATTTTTTTTATTTGAATATAAATGAACTGTATTATCATTTATATCCAATTTATAATTGATGAACTTCCATTGTTTTTAACAGAAATGTTGAGGGAAACGACGTGAGTCTCAAAATTCTAGACGAACATTTTTTGTTGCTTTAAAGCGAGATTTTTTGTCACTTCTACAGGACAATCTTTAGCCGGACGCCAAGAGTCACACAGATTTCCACTTTGATATTTTTGTGACTCTAGACAGCGATGTCGAACAAGAAGCCCAGAGTCACAGAGATCCAGATAACAAAAAACACAACGAACGAGATAGCGTCTATGTGTTTGCCTATCATCTTGTACTTGTTCCTGCGAGGTGTTTCTCGACTATCATCCTGATTGGATGATTTCTCCGTGGAAGAATATGGCGGTGCCTCTTCGCTGAATGACGTTGCTTCCTTGACGTTTGCCAAGGATTGTTTCCCTTGTTGCATGACATGGATTATGTTCCTTGACATCTTTGTTGCTGGAGTAACTGCCCTTTGAAGGTTTTTGACTTTGCTAAAAACTGATTGAAAATGTTCTTGTGCCTTGAGATGAACGACCTCTTTCTGAAATGTCAATTGTGCAAAAATGTCTTTCAATGTGTTTTATGCAATTTAGTAAATGTTATCTGCACACTAGATTATTTTTTAAAATATAATTATTAGTTTAAAAACAGGACAAAAGAATAAACGAAAAAAAAAATTAAACAAAAAAAAAAAACTTTAAGCATGTTACTGGCAAAAACAAAACAAAAAAGAGCATGAAACAGAAAAGAAAACAAAAAATTGTAAACACAATGTAAATTTGTATGAAATAATTATTTTACTATAGAAGTATCGAAAACCTTTACTGTTATGAATTATGACCCCACATCTTTCTACAGTAAAAATCTACTTAAAAGCTTTTTTAAGATAATTTATTTACCTCCTCCAAATTGTGAAGAAAGACGATGATGATGCTATCGATAACAGTGAGCATGGAGATGATGAGGAGGATGAAGAGGTAGAGGGTCAGCTTTGGTGTGGTCAGTGAGGAGCTGGGCAGTAGAGAACTGACGATGCTCATGTAGACAGACAGTGCCAGAAGCACTGTGATGCCTGCAAGTCAAAAAAAAAAGACAACAAAGGACACATTAAGTGCTCATGGCATTAGTCCAGTTTAGTATTTTTAAGGTTCATGTCTGCCATGTTCAGTCATTGTTTTGCTTGTTTTATACACAGACTCAAAAAATATAAATATTGAAAACGTTTAAATATTTTGAGATTTCTTATACCAGCATCTTCTCTGATTCGTGTCCAAGACACATGGGGCAGATAAAGTAGAGTTCATTTTTTTCAATGACCACAACTTACAGAAGGATAGTTTGTTCAGCACTATGTCCAGCCGGCTTTGTTTCATTGACCGCGATGCTATTAAAGAGAAGTATCAACTCACCATAACCGATTTTCTCTCCAGACTCCACAGGAATGACGAAGACAAGCAGATTGAGGAAAGAGAGAAACACGACAGGGAGGATAATGTTGATCAGGAGAAAGGTGGGTCTCCTCTTCATGTTAAACGTTATCTGAAAAAGTGTTATAAAGACAGTTGTAACGTTAAAGAGAAATGATATATCTCTCTTCAAGAACTTAAAATATTTTTTTAATTAATAAATCACTCATCATCCTTACGTAACCAAAAAGTGGTCAAATATCAATGTAATAGTCTCACTAACTGATACACACACGACTGAATAATAATAACATTATTGTCATCAATGACATCTATCTCCTTTTTTTTCTCTCTTGGAATTTAGATAAGATTTTAAATATAACATGTGTTCAACTAGTTTCCTACCCAATAATTAATTAACATTACAATGTAAACACACTTGTATTTTATTCCACAACAGATACTATAAAATTCTGAGCCAAGTTGTTTTTGTTATCATCAGCGTCTATACTAATCAATTGGTGTGCACTAAAACCTACATCAATCGAGAACAAATAGGTAACAGTACCTAAAGCTTTCATCAGTTACACACAGTTACGTAACATTATATAAAGCCTACATCACCCAAAGCATACATAGCTACACATATCTAAAACCTATATCAACTGAGCACAGGTGGGTACAATTATGTAAAGCCTACATTAACCTACATTAACTCAGTATGTAACATTGTCTAAAACCTACATTGACTCAGCATTTAATATTATCTAAAACCTACATTAACTGAGCACAGAACTGTAACATTTTCTAAATCCTACTTTAGCTCAGCAAAGAGCCTAACCTTCACATAAAGCCTACATAGCCACAGATAACATTACCAAAAACCAACATCAATTAAAGACAGGTGCGATACATGAAAATTAAAATTACCTACAACTTACTTCAATGGAGGATATATTCCATGTCCCCGTGTTAATAAACGATGTCGTAAGACTAGAGTCCAGGTACTCCCACTCGCCATTGGTCGTGAAAAAGTCCAGGAGAGACTTGTTTGTCGAGGCAACAAACGTCATTTCTTTTGTCGTGAGAGTCATAGCTACAATCTACCCGAAGAAATTAACCACATTTTAAAAATCACTTCATACTCCTCTGGTCAGTTATCTTTAATCCATTAGGAAAAATAAATTGCTTTTGTTTTGTAGCTATGTAATATTTTTATTTAGTTTTGTTTGTTAAATAAAATGGCATCGCATGTTGCGTCGCAGAGTTAAGATATTCTTATTTAAACAAACACTACTAAACAAGGGTTTTTTAAATGGCCATATAGATAGATCTCTATATGAAGAATCCAGCATTTTAGATACAATGCCATAAAAAAAATGGTGATGAGAAAAATAACAGATTGCTGAAAGAGAATGACTTTTCGGTAAACAGTTACCTGGACAGTACAATTCTGATAATCAAACGGGTAGTCCGTCAGGTCCAGTTTACAGGAAGTTGTCAACAGTGTCCCAGGTACCCAGGATACTGTACCATTGCTGTAGACAAACACGGGTCTGGAGGGGAGGGGGAAGGTTTTAACATAACCACACAGTTGATGGAGAGAAAATTATTTTAACTTTCAATTAGTTTTAACATAAATACGGATGAAAGAAAAAAAATAAACGTTTTCCCTCAAAACAGCTTCAAGTTAAGATTTTTGCCATTTTGAAGACATTTGTTAAGTTGGTTAACGTAAAATATAGTAAGTTAACCGTTTCCAACTTGTCGATTCGTGGGGCAAGTTGAGTAGAGTGCACTGGTTTCTTTGATCACGGTTTATAGCAGTTACTCTATGGTCAGAAATTTACCCCGTCGTCTTTACTAACCCTTGGCCTTATGTTAAACGTGGATGGACTCAGGTTAGTAGACGTAGCACGCCGAGCCTCCCTGTACCCTCCTATACAACCAAACAACAGCCGATATACAGGGACATTCATTGCCGCATTAATGGTGATGGATACGGCATACCCGGAGAATGAGAGGGGACATCATAGCGAGGAAAATATTAGACTGGAATCACCAAGGGAAGAGGAAAGTAGTCAGACCAGGGCAATATTGTAAGAGGACTGTAGAAGAGGCAATGGCTGCAGGGCGCAAATAAAGAGAGTCGCTCAAAATCGAATCCAAAAGAGAAGTGTGGTTGACCCCTTTGCTATACAGGATCCCAAAAAGAATACGTAACGTCAATTAAATTATCTCGACCTTTAGTTTCTGAATGAAACATACCGAGACAAATACTCACGCTATGTCGTCACCAAACGGGTCCCGGTCCCCTAACGTGTTCATGATGACCACACGTGGTCTCCAGATGTCCTCTGGGACCGGATGTATAAGGTCCTGTCCTCCATATTTGTCCTTGTCCCATTTTAGCATCTGGAAGTTATCGTTCTCACTTGTATAATTTAATATTATAAATAAATAAATAAATATATATATATATATATATATATATATATATATATATATATATATATATATATATATATATATATAACGTTTATATAAACTCAGATAAATTATTTCACTAATTTTATCATTTCTAATTTTTAATAATTAAACAGTTTTATATTTGATTAGCAAAAACAATGCTGACATTTTTTGTTTTAAATTAATCAATAAATCATTAGTCCACATGGGAGTCCATTAATCAAAATTTTCACCAATGTTTGATCAATGTGGACCCTAGTCAACATAGCGCTTTTTACAAGCTTTTATTTAACTCACTTCCTCTGTCGACAGTCTGTCGTCAGTCTAGACGGAAACGCAGGAGTGAAAATTCGGACAGTTCTACTTGACCGACACGATTCACAGTTGGCACGTGGGTCAAGACATGAAGACAATGCAATCTGAAACTAAATTTGACTTAATTGGATGCCTAATTGATTTTTTATGAATTAATTAAAATTTGGACCGAATTAGTAGGCATGTCTAGCCAACCACACCACACGCGTCATCAATAGCTGCGCCATCACGACCACGTAATGGCTGCGTTCAAAAACCATTGCGCGCCTACTGAACGTGATATTCAGTAGGCGCGCAATGGTTTTTAGTCATGTAACTCTATTGTAGATAAAACATGTAAAGTACTGAAAAAAAAATTCATAAAAAACGTTTTAATAACAAGCTTTTATGTAATGATGCACTAAAAAGTAGAAAATAAATTATAGACTACTATTTAAATAACTATAAAGAAAAGCGTGGGTGTCTTCCTTAACATTAGTAAAGGTATCCAATAGATACTAAAGTGACCCACGCTTTTCTTTATAGTTATTTAAATAGTAGTCTATAATTTATTTTCTACTTTTTAGTGCATCATTACATAAAAGCTTGTTATTAAAACGTTTTTTATGAATTTTTTACAAGCTTTTATTTAACTCACTTCCTCTGTCGTCAGTCTGTCGACAGTCTAGACGGAAACGCAGGAGTGAAAATTCGGACAGTTCTACTTGACCGACACGATTCACAGTTGGCACGTGGGTCAAGACATGAAGACAATGCAATCTGAAACTAAATTTGACTTAATTGGATGCCTAATTGATTTTTTATGAATTAATTAAAATTTGGACCGAATTAGTAGGCATGTCTAGCCAACCACACCACACGCGTCATCAATAGCTGCGCCATCACGACCACGTAATGGCTGCGTTCAAAAACCATTGCGCGCCTACTGAACGTGATATTCAGTAGGCGCGCAATGGTTTTTAGTCATGTAACTCTATTGTAGATAAAACATGTAAAGTACTGAAAAAAAAATTCATAAAAAACGTTTTAATAACAAGCTTTTATGTAATGATGCACTAAAAAGTAGAAAATAAATTATAGACTACTATTTAAATAACTATAAAGAAAAGCGTGGGTGTCTTCCTTAACATTAGTAAAGGTATCCAATAGATACTAAAGTGACCCACGCTTTTCTTTATAGTTATTTAAATAGTAGTCTATAATTTATTTTCTACTTTTTAGTGCATCATTACATAAAAGCTTGTTATTAAAACGTTTTTTATGAATTTTTTATAGACGTGATTCAGGAAAAGAGAGATTTTTAGTTTCACAAACACCGGTTCATGACTCAGCTATTCGTCTCAAAAATAATTTTAAAATATTTTTTTCTAAAATTTTGCCCAATAAATATTTTCGTAAAGTTACTTTTCGAACCTGATGGTTTATATGGCAAGTGAAGTAGAATTAACCAGCTTTTATGACTTTGTAAGTCTTGAGTCTGAATATGGGTTCAAGTCAGTAGAACTAATGTGTACCTAACTCACGTTAGGAAAAGTAAAGGGGACTGTGCATTGTACTGACAACTTTATCGTTTCAAATGCCGAGATCACGAAACATGAACTCTACTTGGTCTACCCAATGCATAGTTAAGTCTGAAGAACAACACAACTTAGTAGGAAGGTAACTCACCTCATCTACCCAGATTAGTCCCAGAAAACCGTTACAGGTGAAACTCTGCTGGACGTCATCCAACTCAACAACAGACACCAGCTCAAACCACACCTTCACGTACATCGTTTTAGTTTGGTTCCACAGCGGCCTGACCTTTGGGTTATACCTGGCACTGTTCAACACGTCGTTAAAAATATCCATGGTCTCATTGTAAGTCTGGCACTCAACGTGTGAACATAAACCTATCACTAACAAACTTAAACCACATATAAAAATAAGACTGTTTATATCCATGTTACGACTGCAACTGATTAATTTTCTAATCCTCGTCCACAACACGATCTAATTCAGTGAGAGTGCACGCAAAACTATTATGGAGTGTTGTATAACTCTCTAGGCTAATCTAAATTTAGAACCTTATTCAAAATTCTGATAGTGGCCCGCTAGGATTGGTCTGTACACATCACTTTGTTTACTTTCTGCCAGTGGCGGAGCAGGGGGGGGGGGGGAAGTGGGGTGTAGGGGAGCAAATAAAAAAGTGGTGCTCAATCTAACCTTAAAACCTTATCAGAGCGTGTGAAATTTAGCGATAAATTAGTGCTTGCCTTATGTAGCGAAGGTCTAGGAATTCGGCAAGTCTTGTTATTTCGCCAAAGCTCAAAAAAAAAAACGAAAATTTTTGCGATTGGTCGTTGTGATCTCATCCTTGGATTCGATGTCTGAGTCGATTTCATCTTGCTGCTTCATGACTGCGATAACATTTGTGACTCTTTATAACTGTTAAAAAATGTATGAGGTGAGTGCATCAAGGACGTCCTGCTAACTAGCTTGGTATCTGAACACTAGATTTTTATGTGTGCAGTTTTGAACTCTAAGATCCGACCACGCAACCCATTCTGTCAGCTAAACTACTATGGTCATTGTAATAATTGTGGTGCCCTGTCAAAACGGCCCGGGACAAATCGGCCCCGTCAAAAAGGCCCCGTTAATATGACCCCGTCAAATCGACCCACGACAAAACGACCCAGTCAAAATAGCCCCGTCAAAGGGCCCCGACTTATTGGCTCCCATCAAATGGGCTCCCGTTTTATTGACTCGCGACATATAGGCTCCCGAAAAACGAGCTCCAGACATTTAGGCTCCCGACAATTGGACTCTCGACATATTGGCTCCCGAAAAATAGACTCAGGACATACTGGCTCCCGACAAAGTGGCTCCCGACATATTGGCTCCTGACATAAGGGCTCACAACAAATAAGCTCCCGACAAATGGGCTCATGACATATTGGCTACCGTAAAATGGGCTCCCGACATATTGGCTCTCGACAAATGGGCTCCCGACAAAATGACTCCCGACATATTGGCTCCATTTTGTCCTACCTCCACTACTACTATAACCTCTTTTTAATGCCTGCATGAAATTGTTTTTCATGAACCAACATCAATTCTTAAACAAATCAAGCCCTTAACAGCTAAAATCTATCAATTCTAAATTTTTTAAAATGTTCAATTTACAACAGTAAAGATTTGTTGCATAAAAGCGAGCACAGAAGTGAAAATGTGCGATATACATGATGTTTACAGGATAACGACATTTTGTTTTGATAACTTACAAGCATACTGGATGTAGGAATATACAGCGTGGACCCTTCTCCCCACACACTGAGTTGGAACAGCCTATAACCGACTCAAGTATAGAAGTTATAGATAGATGACCCTTAAATTAAAACATACTATCTTTTATAATAGATAAACTAATATAAAAATAAGGCCTGCCAAACAAGAGATGCATACGTTGTATTACTTAAGAGTGTTGTATAAGCTAACTCTAAAGACTATTGTTGAAGGGGTCCCACTGGCAGGTGTCATATTCAATGAGACCGCTTTATGTATAGACTTAGTCTCTACAGAAACTGTATTGTCAGTGGTCCTTTTGTTTGGAGCCAAATTGACAGGAGCTTTTTATCGTGAGCCAAAATGACGCTAGCCTATTTGTCGGGAGTCGTAATGACGGGGGCCGTTTTGCGGAGAAACTAAATGGTGGGAGCCTATTTGTCGGGAGTCGTAATGACGGGGGCCGTTTTGTGGAGAAAACTAAATGACGGAAGCCTATATGTGGGGAGCCAAAATGACGGGAGCCTATTTTTCAGGAGCCTTATTGACTGGAGCACTTTTGTCGGGAGCCTATATAACGGGAGCCTATTTGTCGGGGCCTAAATGACGGGAGCCTATTTATCGGGAGCCTTTATGACGGGGTCCATATGTCCATTTTAACGGGGTCAATTTGACGGGTCTCTTATGTCAGAGCCGATTTGTCGGGGTCGTTTTGACGGGGCCGTTTTGTCATTGGCCGTTTTGACGCCGCACGAATAATTGTTTATGGACGGACCTTGATAACAAACAAAATTATAAAAAAATAAAACTCTCCCAAGTCAACCTGTGAATGAACGATTTTCTTGTTGTAACGAGTTATAAAGTGTGAACTATGCACTAAGCTTCGGTACCCCTAAGCCAAATAGCGTGTAAAGGGTGTAAATATTTGCTCTGTCATGGCATAATTAGAGCAGAACCAGTGGGTGAAGTCAGGTGTGAATCTGCAAGTCATTACGGCGGTGCTTCGATCGCATTGGATACATGTTACGTTATAGGTGGAGACCGACGCTTCAATTCAACACTATCGTTAATAGAAATTTCCAATCAAACAGAAACAGTTATTTAAAAAAAAACACGTTCATCGGTGTTTTTAAATCTAAATTAAGCATGAGTGATCTCCCCTTAATTTTCTCGTATATAACATTTTTAAATAGAATAGAATCGTGTAGAAAAAAATAATTACGCATAAAATGAACATAAACTATGTGATTATAAATGACATGACAGATATTGCTTTTTAAAAAGTTACTTAAAATCTAATTCAGCAAAAGTGTATGTCATAATAAATTGTCTTCGTGTCTAGACCTACCTGAAAACTTTTAAAGAAATCGGCCCAGTTGAAGTGATATTTCTTTTTACAAGTTTTTATTTAGTTTGCAACGTTTGTTTGTGGGTATGTGGCAAATCTTGTAACTCAATTTTGATCCACTTCCAATGCAGCGATTTCGTTCAAACTTTCGAGATACATTCCACTTCGATGACCATACAGTCTATCTAATTTTTTTAAATTTAATTAGATGTATTTTAGTCATTAAAAATTAATTAAACGGTTTCGAAACTAAAGGGAGAACAAAATTAAATCAATGAATGATTACTATATTCAGTAACAGAAGGGGAAATAAAATAGCTCGACGAGACCAAACCCAGCAGTCTGGTGAGCTGTTGTTTACGAGAATGTTTACAATCGTAGACCCATAATTCATAATTTGTGAATTCGACACTAACTATGCTGCGACTGAAAATATTTGCTTTAAAACACTATCAGTAACTCATGAAGGACGATAACCCCCCCCCCCCCACACACGTGAAAGCAGCCTCCTCTTAGTTACCTCCCCTAAGTTTCAAATCGTTTAAAAATTATCTGCCACTGGTGGGGTGCGGGTGGTTACGATATGCCTAGAGAGCGGGGTAGGAACGGCTAAGCCCTTACGTGGTGGTGTCTCGCATGGTTTCCACGTAGAGAATTATATATATAGATATTGTTAGGTGCAGCATTGATAGATTGTGAATTACTAAAAGTACAAAATAAAACAAATATTTAAAAAAATCGAATAGCAAGCTTTTAAATGCACCGAAAGTAAGAAGATAAAACTGATTTGCTTTTATAAAAGCTTTGGTTACTCACGAGATATTTTACATATTTTAGCAACAAAAGGTTTGACAGAAAACAAATTAGTTCTATTTTCTTATTTTCAGTGCATTTAAAATCTTTCTATTAGTAAGTTCTTTAATATTTGTTTTATTAAAATTTAGAAATCAGAAATAGCGTAAAGTGATAATTAAAATGCATGAGAATCTAGAAAATACTATCTTATACTTATGTTTAAGACTTCGTCCATTTAACTACATTGATATATTTTAGTATACAGAAATCGAGTAAAGTACCACTTAGGTTATCAGAGATCACTCAAAAGTTGGAATAAGTTAAAGTATAAGATCCTTTATTTAAGTAATTTCATCTACCCACCGAAACAGTACTCAAGTTACATTGTTCACAATGGGATTAGAGTGAAGTACTACTAACGGTTTCCGAAAATAATTCAAAATTTGAAGAAAAAAAATACACACACAATTTCTTCTACCTAACTCAAACGCTACTTAGGTTATTGACTTTTGAGAGACCGGAATTAGAGTAATTAGAGTTGATACATAACTTCAAATTTGATATACTACTTATATATGAAACGTCGTCAATTTAACTGAAACGGTACTCAAGTTATCAAATTCACAACAGACACACAAGCATTCAAACAAAATTGCAAAACTAAGTTATTTTTCCGAATCAGTGAGGTGTAAATTGTCAAGGGTTGTCAAAATCTCGACTTCGATATTTTGAACGATTTACTTTCTCTATACTTCGTATATGAGAACATAAAAAATAAACATTTTAACTTGTAAAATTGTGGGCTAGTAAACAAGGACAAAGTTCGGTGTTTTGAAAAAAATCTCTCCATATGCTTTAAACCTTGAATTAATCGTCGTTGCAGGTAATGTTATAGAATGCACGATTTAAAAATCTACCTGTGTAACTGACAAGGTAGAATGTGCCACAGTCGTGAAATACCGGGGGGAAAAGGCCATCAAATCAGTCTACATGATGTTGATTTAATGTGTGTAATTGAGATGTCACTTTTAGTGAGGACATATGACGTAAACCTCGATGTATTTTATCTAGTGATATGACTCGATGCACTCTATTAATGGAATGCTCATATGACGCAGTGTACTATATTTAGGGATGTACTCGTGGCTTAATGTACTTTATTTAGAGACGTTCACAAGACGTGATGCAAAATATTCAGAGACGTTCACATGACTCGGTGTTCTAAATTTAGAAACGTTCAAATGACACAGTGTTCTGTATTAGGGACGTACACATGACTCAGTGTACTATATTAAGGGACATACACTTGACTCGTTGTACTGCATTTAGGGACGTACAAATGACTCAGTGTTCTGTTTTGGGAAGTAAACATGACCAGGTGTAATAGTTTTAAGAACGTACAGATGACTCAAGACTGAGTGCAATATAATTAATTTTATCAACGATTATTTATTATACTAAACACTACTGTTTACACGTTCAAGTAGATCAACATACATATACATTGACGATTAGAAGGCAAGTAACTGATATAATATTTAATAGAAATAAAGCGCGAGTGATCTCCCCTAAACATTCTCGAATATGCTTATATAACACTACAGGAACAGCAACTCGGAATATAGACACGATTTTTAATACATTTTTAAATACTCAAACGTTTAAAAATAGAATAAAATTTCGTAGAAAAAGAATTGCGCACCACGTGAACAGTAAACAATGTGTATATAATAGGGCGGAATATTAGTGCTTTATAAATTCATATGCGTTTTTGAGAAATAGGAAATAGCGTAAAGTACTACTTCCGGTCAACGGAAATCATTCAAAATTTGACAGAAGACAGAGAGTTAGATCTATTACTTATACTAACAGTAAATAAGTTTTAGGCTTGTCCAAAACAGAAAGATTAAATTCGCCTTCCGGTTACCGGAAATCGCTGAAAAGCTGATACAGAACTACAAATTTGATGTAAGACAATGGAAGTTCAATTATAGTTCTATTGTTTATGTGATTAGACACTGGAATGGAATCTGTATACCGATTCGATGTTAGTTTGTCGCGATTTAAGTGCTAAGATATTTATTGTGAATCTAGAAACTCTTTTATAAAACACATCATACTACAATTAGATGATTAGAAGCTTGCGATTCTTCAGTCATTTCTAAATCTGTAAATTGTTCTTCAATTATTTTTCATAAGCCGGCTGGCCACTTTATTCGACAATTTCAAATCAACCAAACGTAGATTATTCTAAACATTAAAACAAAGCACTAAGCCCACAGCCTGAGAGATTTATACCATGTATTATCTGTCTCTAGAAATAGATATTCAGCAGGAAGCCCAGAGACACAGAGATCCAAACGATGAAAAACACAACGAACGAGATGGTGTCTATGTGTTTGCCTATCGTCTTGTACTTGTTCCTGCGAGGTGTCTCCCATTCTTCGTCTTGATTCGCTGCTTTCTCTGTGGAACTATATTGCGGCGTGTCATCGTTAGCATGTGATTGATTCCCTTGCGGTACTACATGGATTTTGTTGCTTCTCGTTTTTCTTAATGAAATAATGGCCCTTCGAGTGTTTTTGTCCTTGCTGTTAGCAGATTTGAAATGTTGTTGAGCCTTGGGATGGGCGACCTCTCTCTAAAATTAAGATTAGGGTTTCAATGATGTAGATTGTAGATCAATATATTGTTTTAAAATAATATCTTTACAAAATATTTTCGTTTTTTACACCAAAATTCAGTTTTAATATAACTATAATGGTGTTTTTATGTTTTGTGCGGTTTTCTAATATATTTTCAATCTAAATTAAATAGTAAGACACACTTATTTAGAAAATAATAATAAATAGAAAGGTTGACTAATAAATTACAATCAGCATTGCAAAACAAAAAGAGACCACGGAAGAATTGGAAGAAGACAACAAAAAGATTATATACAACTGGGGACAGTTGGAGATACTAGCTCAGAACAGATATGCCTGACACCAAGAAGATTGGATACACCTGGGGACAGTTGGAGATACTAGCCCAGTACACCTGGGGACAGTTGGAGAGACTAGCCCAGGACACCCGGGGACAGTTGGAGAGACTAGCCCAGTACACCTGGGGACAGTTGGAGAGACTAGCCTAGTACACCTGGGGACAGTTGGAAAGACTAGCTCAGAACAGATATGCCTGACACCAAGAAGAGTGGATACACCTGGGGACAGTTGGAGAGACTAGCCCAGGACACCTGGGGACAGTTGGAGAGACTAGCCCAGGACAGAGATGCCTGACACCAAGAAGATTGGATACACTTGGGGACAGTTGGAGAGACTAGCCCAGGACAGGATACACCTGGGGACAGTTAGAGAGACTAGCCCAGGACAGAGATGCCTGACACCAAGAAGATTGGATACACCTGGGGACAGTTGGAGAGACTAGCCCAGGACACCTGGGGACAGTTGGAGAGACTAGCCCAGGACAGAGATGCCTGACACCAAGAAGATTGGATACACCTGGGGACAGTTGGAGAGACTAGCCCAGGACACCTGGGGACAGTTGGAGAGACTAGACCAGGACACCTGGGGACAGTTGGAGAGACTAGCCTAGGACACCTGGGGACAGTTGGAGAGACTAGCCCAGTACACCTGGGAACAGTTAAAGAGACTAGCCCAGGACAGGATACACCTGGGGACAGTTGGAGAGACTAGCCCAGTACACCTGGGGACAGTTGGAGAGATTAGCCCAGTACACCTGGGAACAGTTAAAGAGACTAGCCCAGGACATGATACACCTGGGGACAGTTGGAGAGACTAGCCCAGGACAGGATACACCTGGGGTCAGTTGGAGAGACTAGCCCAGGACAGGATACACCTGGGGACAGTTGGAGAGACTAGCCCAGGACAGAGATGCCTGGAAATCTTGTGGACGGCCTATGTCCCGGTGGGTCAACAGGTGTTGGTAATTGTTTATTTTTTTACTTTGCCTTTCGATCCTAATGATTATTTGTTACCTTACTAAATGTGTGTATTTATTATGATAAATAATCTATTTACCTCCTCCAAATTGTTTAGGAAGACGATGATGATGCTGTCGATAACAGTGAGCATCGAGATGATGAGGAGGATAAAGAGGTAGAGGGTCAGCTTTGGTGTGGTCAGTGAGGAGCTGGGCAACATAGAGCTGACCATGCTCATGTAGACAGACAGTGCCAGAAGTACTGTAATTCCTGCAGGTAAAATACAGAAAAAAATGAACTTGTGTTTACGTCGTGTTAAATGCCTTCGACAAATGAAGTGTGATTAAAATATTTTAAACACCAATAAAACATATTTTGTGTGTTTGAGACATGTTAAACACAGGTGACAAATAGATGGCGCTTATGCAATCCTTTGTCATGCTAAAATCACGTCAAAAGTGTGTTATACACCGCCGAAAATAAGTTGCGCTATCAAGTAATTAATTAATTATATGATGGTTTTATCTAGGTGCTTATTTCTAGTGATTTTTTGTCATTTTTTACGATTCTTATTAAATAATTACCGTACATACCATTTAATTTTTTTAACTTACGTAAAACGCCTATTTATAATGTCGAGAAAGGTTTGCCGATACATCTTAAAACAAGCTCACATTAATAAAAGCATTGACTGCAGTAATTAGAAAGACAAAACACAAATAAACAATACATCAATACATTTCGTTGAATTAAGAATGTGTGTTTACTTTTTTTTTTAAATTTCAAGTATATTTAAAAGCTTTTTATTATGAAGTTTTAAAATATGTTTTCTTATTTTCTACTTTTTAGTGTTGCGCTCTAAATGAAGTCGACACAGAATTCGACTAATTAATTTTCTTTACAATCCGATCAGAAGACAATTATCTTTCATTATTCTTAGACAAGAAAGCATCCATCTATTACCAACAGTTCATGTCTTCGGCTAGCTAATCGTTCCCTAGTATTTAATCTTGTTATCAAATTTATTTTGATTTTTTTTTTAAATCTTTAAATAAATAATAATGACCAAACTAACTTGTAATTTGATTAAAGATAAGATAGTATTGCATTGGCATCTGAGATGAATGTATTTGGAAAGTTAACACATTTAGAAGTGGTCTAGAACAGATTTACAAGATTTGACATACACTCACAAACAAGCAAACAAACAGAAAACGTGAAATATTTTTAAAAAGCGTATTAAAAACATATCCATGACATCCTCTTTGGAGAAACTCACCGTAGCTGATTTTCTCACCCGACTCCACTGGGATGAGGAAGACGAGCAGATTGAGGAAAGAGAGAAACACAACAGGGAGGATAATGTTGATGAGGAGAAAGGTGGGTCTCCTCTTCAAGAAAAAAGTTATCTGAAAAATTGTTTAAAAGACCGCTATAACATTAATAAAACGCGGTATAATTTTATCTCATAAAAACATCTAATCATTATTATAACACTAGCCGTCCCGGCCAGGCCCTGCTCTGGCTTCTGTGAAAAACCTTTCTGTTAAAGACCATTACCTGTGTGTTTAGTAATCATCATAAACCCGGCATTGCCCACCCAAACCACAACCAACCAAAACAACAAAACGCAAACATAACGCTAACACAATTACAAATACAAATGAAAACAAAAACCTAACAACAAACCCAACCACAACCACAAACACCAATACAAACACAAAGAAAAAACAAACAAAAAAGCAAACGAAAACAAAAACCTAACAACAAACCCAACCACAAACACCAATACCAACAAAAAAAAAAAAAAACGAAAAAGCAAACGAAAACAAACCAAATCCAAACGCAAAACCAACCAAAAACACAAATACAAACCCAAACAAAAAAACACAAACAAAAACGAAAAGAGAAAGAACAAAAACGAACCAAATCAAAACGCAACCACTAACGCAAACCCACCTAAACACAAAGAAAACACTAACGCGAACATAAACGCCCGGGGCGGAATCACCTGTTTAAGCTTAATGAACGACTATAGTACCCCAACTTATTCATAGTCTTTTGCACTCACTTAAACGAACGCGCCTGTTTCAATTTAATGAACAATTTTAATACTCCAAGCTTATCCGTAAAATACCTACAACATTTGCACTTGATCAATCCCCGCTAAGTATGTAATTATTTTTTTTTCCCAACACCAAAACAAAGTAATAAAAAGTAAATTATTTTCCACTAATGCAATGGTTTTATAAAGGGAAGTAATTGTGTTTTCCTAATTTATCAAAGGGAAGTAAGTGCTATAGGACTAATTAAAGACATAATTAGAATTTTTGTAAAAGATGATATTTTTTTAAAACTTGTGTTTAATGAACATGCCGACAATTATTACTATAATTTGAAAAATGAAAATTATTTCCCAACACTTTCAATAGTAATTTTTTAACTCATAAATTTAGACAAATGCGCACGATAATTGTCTAACACTTAAATCCATTCAAGACCAACGACAAACATATGCGTTACATACAGAACTGAGCTTTATATATTAGATAAACCAGGCATACTGCCTAGCTTTGCTTAGGTTTTCAAAAAACTTTTGAGATTTAATGATTTAATTGATTGGTGATTGTCTGTTATTGTAAGTTTAAACAATCTGAGTAATTTTATGTCTAAGAAACCTTGTTGCAAAGGGTTTCTTAAAAAGACAACTCAAATATTATATTAAAATTAAATTTCGCAATTAATTTTCACAATTTCATTGCGATATATAACTAAATTTATAACGAAATACATATGTAAACGAATGCTATACTTTGTAATTTTCTGTTTTTGTTGAAAAAAAGTATAAAAATAATTTTAAATTTATTAATTTAAAAGTTACCTCCTTGTACGTACACCGAATAACGTAATCTTTGTTTACTTTTCGACAAACAATTGCTATGCTTATAGAAGAAAATACGGCATTTGGACAAATGTAACGCTTTTGGTACCAACCGGCACCTGGCTCCCGTGTTCTATTGCCCCAACGCAGGAGCCTGCCAAATTTGAAGCGCCTGCGGCGCCGGGAAGTGCCCCCTCGGGCATCCAACCACTTTGCTTTATATATAAAAAGATACTACATTTTGAATCTTCCATCATTGTAGTCAGTGCCGGCGCCAGGTAATTTTGCGCTCTAGGCAAAACGTGTGCAAACTGTATTCCGGGCAAGTGTCTTTCTGGAAAACGTCCGGCTCGCCACCGAAATAGATCGCTACGCGAAGTTATTAATTTTTAGGTACTTTTTAATAATAGCGATTACTCATTTTTGCGCCCCCCTATTGATAGCACCCTAGGCGGCCGCCTAGTTCTCCGGCCCTGATTGCAGTATATGTGCGTAACTTTATATAAAACTTACATCAATGGAAGACATGATCCAAGTCCCTGCACCAATCGGTGATGTCGTCAAGCTTGAATCCAAGTACTCCCATTCACCATTTATCGTGAAAAAATGCAGGGCAACTTTATTTTGTGACGCCACGAACTTCATTTCTTCTATTGAGAGCGTCATAGCAAGAATCTGTACCACGATTTGAAAGAACTGTATAATCACTTCAGATATGGAAGGTCAACTTACATTTTCTATATAAAGATAACTCGGTTTTTTTTAATAAATCGCTTACCAACAATACACTTGGTTGAAATAGAATTATTACGAATTAAACCGCAGCTGTAAGGTGCTTTAAGGCAGTTGTATATGGTACAATATAATCACGTAGGCAGAGGCGTAGCGAGGGGGGGGGGGGGGGCTTGCGGACCGCACCGGGTGACACCATTTAGGGGGCACAAAATAGTAAAATATATAGAGAAAAATGATAATTCCACTTAATTAAGTGATTAATTCGACTGCTAAATAGTCTTTTAAGAGGTGCAAGAAGGGGGGGGGGGGGGGGTGGTGGTGGTGCAAATTGAATGTTTGAGGGGGGTGCAAATCGAAAATTGAAATTCTGTCCCCGGGACACGCCTCTGGGGGCTGACACCATTAATTGCCGCACCTTGTGACATCCGACCTCGCTACGCCACTGCACGTAGGTATTTGTCCGTTAGCAAGGGAGGATTAGAAATGTGTGTGTATGTATGTGAGGAAAAATTTTGAAATTCTCACATTATGTAACAAAATCCTATTTGCACCTTAGATACCGATAAAACAACACATTATGTTAATGTTTGGTTTAGGGTAAAATTGACAAAAGTATTTTGTGGGTCGGCATGGTCGGTTCTGTTAAACTCGCTGCTGTGAATCCGAACAGTCATGGGTTTGAATCTCCTGAACAGATGAGACTCTCTATAGCTCGTAACAGCAACTCATTTAGAAAACTCCGCAATCAAACAACTGCTGCCTTGCAGTTTGTTCTTGGCTCGACAAAAGTCAAAAGGAAAGTGGCAGTAAACTGACCATATGGAGCATGACATGTTGACAAGTAATATTTAGTTGTGTTAAAGAGATTCAAAATCCAACTTATTATTACAAAAAAAAGTTAAAAAAATGTGTAAATAAATACCTGAACAGTGCAGCTCTGATGGTCAAACGGGTAATACGTCATGTCCAGCTTACAGGATGTGGTCAACAGTGCTCCTGGTGTCCAGGCAGCTAACCCATGGCTGTAAACAAACACGGGGCTTGGGGGAAGGGTAATTAATTGAACACAGTAGTAGTGGTGAGGAAAGTATTTTCATATCGATGAAAATATTTATCGTAAATATTAAAAGTAATGAATACTGGATGAAAAGAAAGAATGCAATTACTTTCATTAACATACATAGCAACGAAGTTTTATTTTTTTTGTATTTTGTTATCATTCGGGAATTTTTAGATGATCAACTATTATTGATATTATACCAGCTCCATCTCGTCCCATCATTTTGCGAGTTGAACTTATGTACAAGTAGCTTAACAGGTACTCACGCAACGTCATCACCAAACGGGTCCCGGTCCCCTAACGTGTTCATGATGACCACACGTGGTCTCCAGATGTCCTCTGGGACCGGATGTATAAGGTCCTGTCCTCCATATTGGTCTTTGTCCCATTTTAGCATCTAAAAATATCATTATATCTAGCGTAATTATATGCTACTAGGCATGCTGCCAAGCTTCGCTTAGGCTTTCGAAAACATTGAGAATTTGAATGCTTAATTAATTCGCCCATATAAAGCGCCGGTCAGTCGAGGTCAGTTTTGATCCCCTCATCGTAGACTTTTCGGCCAACCGGCCCCCGTGTTCTGTCGCCCCAAGGCAAGATCCTGCCAAATTTGAAGCGCCTGCGACGCAAGGAAGTGCCCTGTCGGGCACCCGACAACTTAGCTTTATATTTTATAGAGATTAGCAAATTGCATAGATAAACAAAGATTTCAATAAAGTGATTAAGGCCTGAAATACTTTAATGTAGAAGTGTATTATTTGAATAGATTCTAGATCTAGGTATGGTCTACATCTGTGTAAGTCTAGTTTTTTCCGTAGATCTAGATCATCTAGATCTAGATATAGAATCTCTAGATCTAGATGATCTAGAATCTCTAGATCTAGATGATCTAGAATATCTAGATCTAGATGATCTAGAATCTCTAGATCTAGATGATCTGGAATCTCTAGATATCTAGATGATCTAGAATATCTAGATCTAGAATCTCTAGATCTAGAATCCAAATAAATAAAATATTTTTTTTAAGTTTAGGCCGAGAAAATCGTATTGTATACATTTCATAGCGTACATAGCTCTTAATCATATTTGAATGAAATAGTTCATTTCTTTTTATTCTAAACTCGGAAGATGACGTCATCAGTTTCGTGCTCTTTTTTAGTGTAGACAATAAGCGACGTCATTGTTAAATGCGTTCTTGTCCCAAGTTTAAACACTTTTTCGGTTGCATAATTAAAATTGTTTTTCTACATTCGAATACGCCTTTATTTTTTTTTTCTTCTTTAAATAAAATTGTGGTTATACATTTAAAACATCTAACATATTATTTTCAACAAAAGTCCGTATAAAGTTCTTCAAATATCGCTGCAGTTTCTGATGTTATGTCCGGCGAAAATATTTTGCGGACAGACAGAGAAAGAGAGAGAAGTGCGCACAGGGCCTTTTATATATTAGGATGTTAATTAAATAAAGCTTTTTGAAATAATTGTAGGCCTATTTATATTTTTGTAAAATGTTGAATAATCTAATTACAGTTTAGTTTAATACAATTTAGATTTTTTTAAATTTGATTAAAAAATACCCTGCTTATTATGGAAAACTTTTTTTTATTCAATTACTCAAAAAGCCAATAATCTAATTGCTGCTAAATATTTGAAAGGAATAATGCACGTTTGTCTACAATACTGTTTATGAAAACTTTGTGCTTTCAATAACAATTCTGTCTATATCCATCTATCTTTATATATATATAAATCTAAATCTAAATCTAAATATAAATATAAATATAAATCTAAATATATATATGTATATATATATATATATATATATATATATATATATATATATATATATATATGTATGTATGTATGTATATATATATATATATATATATATATATATATATATATATATATATATATATATATATATATATATATATAAATAAATAAATATATATATATATATATATATATATATATATATATATATATATATATATATATATATATATATATATATATATATATATATATATATATATATATATATATATATATATATATATATATATATATATATATATATATATATATAATTATTTACATAAATACACTGGTTATATTTTTAAAACGAATAGATACCTTAGAAAACATACCTCATCTACCCAGCCAAATCCCAGAAAACCGTTACAGGTAAAACTCTGCTTGACGTCATCCAGCTCGACCACCGACAGCAGTTCAAACATTACACTGACCTCAAGGGTCGCTGTTTGGTTCACCAGAGGCCTAATCTTTGGGTTGTATCTGGCACTGTTGAGCACGTCGTTAAAAAGAGCCATGGTGCTATTGTAACTCTTTCCATGAACGCATGAAGTGAAACCAATAATTATTAAACTTAAACCACATTTCAAAATATAACTGTACATATTCATGTTTTTTTCCCACAGTTAAGTAAGTAAATTATCCGCGTTCACAATTTCTAATTTACTGTGAGTGCAAACGAATGTTTTATCGAATGTTACCCAGCAATTCGTGTTGTGCAAACATTTATGCCTCTAATCTAAATTTAGAATCTTACTCAAAATTTCAATAGTCGAACTCTAGATTGCTCCGTATTAATTTGAATCAGTGGCGTCACCTTAGATGGTGACGATGTGGAGTGTACAGGGAAGCTAAAGAGGATGTTTTTTTACTTATTCAGAAGATTGCGATTATTTAAATTTTGTCTATAACGACGTTTATACCTATCATAGATATTAAAATGACACTAACAAAATCGTTCAGATTAACAGACTTTTATACATGCATTAAAAAAGAGAAGATGGAAAACGTTTATTACAATATAGCGAGCTATTTTTTTAGTTATATAAATCTTATAAATATACATTATATTTAAATAAATAATTTTTATTTTATTTTTTTTCAGTGCTTATCAAAACCACTGTAGATAGTTTTCTTTTTTACTTACATATTAGTTTTAAAAAATCCAATGCAATGGAATAAATAAAAAATAAACTGTAATTAAATATCTAAATAGCTCAACATTCAAGTTACATTGCATTGTCATCGGATTGTGACCTATGTGCCAAGTTTAAAATAAATAGGTTTTGAGGATTTGGGTTTTAGGCCTATACTAAAATAAAGCAATAAAAGCAAGAGGAATCAAGTAAGATAAAAGCGTGTTTAAAGAAACCCCATCGTTAAATATTACAAACTTATTACATGTAGTCTTAACGATTCGAAATTTGGGCTAGTTTTTTTTTTTTAAATTTCTACAAGACATTATTTATCTTTACCTTCACAGTTCTCTGAGTGTTTATTTTTTACACATACACTTCGTCTTCGATCTAAAATTCGATGTCAGCGCTGATTCTGCCTACTGCGTTATGATGTCGTTAGTGTGTTTAACAAACTGAAACTATGTAGCTAGTTTGGTCAATGAAAAGGAAATTACATAATTAAATTTTGGCTTTTATTTGATAATGTTTAATATATTTTGAAAAATGTATCTGTCTTTTGTAGCAATGATCTTCTTTGTCTACTTCTTCTTCTTCTTCGTTCTTAATTATTGGTGTTGAAGGGGATCGAGACTTTGTTAGAATTTATCAACCATGAGCTTTTTGCCGACTCGACCACGCCTTCAACACAATTAAGCGTTACGTGTCAACTGGTTATGCGCCATTGAGGCCATTGACTCCGATTTCAGCCTGCTTTTCTTTTTGGATTTGCTTCCATAGCCTTTGTCCAACCAAGAACAATACAAGGCAGCAGTTGTTTAATTTTGGAGTTGTCTCTCCTAGAAGAGTGGCTGTCCCCAGCTAACGAGCCTCATCTGCCCGAGGGTTCGAACTCGAGACTTTTCGGTTTAGCAACCATGAGCTTTACCGACTCGACCACGCCGAACCCTCTTTGTGTACTGTTTTTGTTGAAGTAGGCTATAGAGGCTAGTAAATATTGGCAACATTCGTCAAATATTTAACAGTTCTATGTCGTTATTGTCTTTGAGAGCAAACGTTCATACATTTATACAAATAAAATATCAAAATAATAATAATTGCTATTCTCATAATGAAATCTTACACTAAATTAAGCTAATAAATTAGCACTTTGAATGCACATAATACATTAATCTGATAATAGAACGCATATTCTCTTGATTTTAAAAGAAAAATATTAATGGCAGTGCTTCATTTAAAATAACTTGTGGTATCTTAACTTAAAATACTAAGTACATGTAAACAACTTTTCTCAAGTGCTCTTAATTTAAACAAATATTTTCTTTTATTTTAAACAAGGCTAACAGCATATTGAACAACGAAATCAACGTAATCAGCATAAGGTTGCATTGATAAAATAAGGGAAGCAACTGATATTTATATTTAAAAAATACCTGTAATTTAATAAACTAGAGTTCTGTCTGAAACACGATTGTTACCTTCACAGAATAGATTGACTGTATCAGCACTATAATGCAAGTGTTGTGTTGATTAGGCTTTTTTTTTTAAAAAAGAAGAAAACGTGTTGATGGAGCCGGGGGAGAAACAAACAAATCCAAAAATTGATTTTTCGACTATATCCAGCGAGGTCTAACAATAAGCCCAGAGTCATAGAGATCCAAGTGATTAAGAACAAAACTAAAGACATAGCGTCTATGTGTTTGCCTATCATCTTGTACTTGTTTCTGAGTGGTGTCGCATGATATTTTTCTTCATCAGCAGCTTTCTCCGTGGGGGAATGAGACGACGGTACATCATCATTGAATGACATCGCTTCATAGATGTTTGCCAGAGATTGCTTCCCTTGTGGTAGGACATGGATTTTATCCATTGTCATCTTTGAAACTGGAGTAACGGCCCTTTGTAAGATTTTGATTACTTACAGCTGACTGAAATTTTCTTTTCGGGCAAGTGTTCATTCGGCCATCAGCCGTATTTGGGAAAGTAAACGGCTTCTAGGAAGTGTCTTGTCGGGAATTCGTCGTAGACCCTATATTTGATGCATTTTTTTAAAAAATATTTTGTTAGCCAATCTTAATCAGCAAAATATAAACCGATTTATTAAAAGATATTAAAAAAGTAAAATATATATTTGTAAATGCGTTTTCGTGTCGATGAACTGATTCATTTTACTATATTCATTTCATTAAAAATATAAAGTTCTAAATGATATATAATACTACTACAATTTGTATCATCCTCTAAATTATCAAGAATGACAATGGCGATGCTGTCGATAACGGTGAGCATGGAGATGATAAGGTGGATGAAGAGTTAGAGAGTCGTTGCAATAATTATATCCTGCTGAACTTTTTGAAAAATCGAATGTTAAAAATGCTACCAATTCAACAGTTTGAATGAATTATTCTTTTTCTTCGTTCTTACTTCTAATGTTTGAAGTAATTCCCTCCAACACAATTAAGTATTACGAGTCAACTTGTTAAGCGCCATTGAGGTCAATTGACTCGGTTTCAGTCGACTTTTCCTTTTTAGATTTGCTTTCATAGCCTTTGTCCAACAAACTACAAGGCAGCAGTTATTTGATTTTGCACCTGTCTCTCCTTGATAAGTAGCTGTGCCCAGCTATCAAGCCTCAGCTGCCAGGTATTCGACCTCGGAACTACAGACTCAACAAAGCTCACCTCTTTGAATGAACGATCTCTTTTTTACCACACGAGGGTTGTATCGAGTTATAAAGTGTGTACTATGCACTAAGCTTCAGTACAGCTAAGCCAAATAACACGTTACAGTTGTAAATATTTGCAATGTCATGGCATAATTAGAGCAGAACCAGTGGGTGAAGTCAGGTGTGAATCTGCAAGTCATTACGGTGGTGATTTGATCGCATTGGATGCATGTTCTGTTATAGGGGTGGAACCACGCTTCCATTCAACACGATGGTTAATAGAAATTTCCAAATCAAACAGAACCAATCAGACAAAACTTACATCAATGCTTCATATACAAAAAAATGCATTTTAACTTGCAAAATTGTGAGCTAGTAAACAAGGGCACAGTTCGGTGTTTTGACGAAAATCTGTCCATATGTATTAAACCTTGAATTGATCGTCGTTGCAGGTAATGTTATAGAATGCACGATTTAAAAATCTACCTGGGCACCTGACAAGGTTTTAACCCACTTCAGGTGTGAAGTACCGGATCGAGAACCTGCGAATAAATAAATGTACAAGGTGTTGGTGTAAAAGTGTGTACATGAAATCCCACCTTTAGGGACGTACACACGACGCAAGACTCGATGTACTATATTTAGGGACGATCACATGAGTGTAATGTATTTACAGAGGTTCACATGACTCAGTATTCTATATTTAGGGACGTTCACATGAATCAGTGTTCTATATTTAGGGACGTTCATATGACTCAGTGTTCTATATTTAGGGACGTTCACATGACCCAGTGTTATATATTTAGGGACGTTCACATGACTCAATGTTCTATATTTTGGTAAGTTCACATGACCCAGTGGTCTAGATTTTGGGACATTTACATAACGTAAAGCTCGTGTAGTATACTCAATTTCAGCGACAATTATCTCTTATTTTAAACAAGACTATCAACAAGTTTAACAACTCGATCAACATACATGAGATTTGATGCAAATAAGGGAAGCAACTGGTATGTTTTAAAAAATGTGCTAAAATATTCTGATAGACTAGTTTTATGTTTCAAGCACAATTGTTCAGCTAAGGGGATTGTTTGATTCGACACTAGAATGGAAGTTGTTTACCGATCAGATACTAGTTATAAAAGTGTAGGGATATTTGTTGAGATTTTAAGTGCTACGGTATTTTTGTGAATTTAGGGATCTTTTTGTTTAAAAAAAATATTACAAATGGAAACGTGAGGATACATCTCAAAACTCAGAATGGCTTTATTTGTTCATGTAATTAAATAAAATATTATTCTGTCATTCGAAAATCTGTAAATCTTTCTTAATTATTTTTTTTAACTAGCCAGCCTATCACTTTATTCGACAAGTTCAAAGCAATAAAACGTAGATTATTCTAAAAATTGAAATAAAACACACAAAAAAAGCTTACAACCAAAGAGATCTACACTGTTTTTTTTGTAAATTTACAACACAATGTCAGACAAAGGCATGAGTCACAGAGATCAGAGAGTTTATTTTTGTGACTCTAGAAAGCAAGTTCGAGCAAGAATCCCAGAGTCACAGAGATCCAAACGATGAAAAATACAACGAACGAGATGGGGTCTATGTGTTTGCCTATCGTCTTGCACTTATTTCTCTGCGGTGTCTCCCAATCTTCGTCTTGATTGGCTGATTTAACCGAGGAATTATATGCCGATGCGTCATCGATGAATGAAGTCACTCCGGAGACGTTAGCCAGTGATTGCTTCCCTTGTGGTATGACATGGATTATGTTTCTTGTCATCTTTGTTAATGGAGTTAGCGCCCTTTTGACCTTGCTGAAAGCTGATCTAAAATGTTGAAGAGCATTGAGTCGAGCGGCCTCTCTCTGAAATAAAGATCAAAGTTTCAGTGATGTATATATTTTACAAAAACGTTTTTTTTTAATTTTCTCAATTTATCTTGTTAATATTTTATTTTTAATTTAGGTAGAGTGGGGTGTTTTTTTTAAATACGTTTTCTAATGAATTTAAAATCTAAATTAAAACGTAAGACTATATGATTAATCAATATTAATAGTAACACCTTTTGCACTTAAACGCATTTGGAGTCTGTAAAATATTATTTTATATTACATCGATTCAGTGGCGTAGCTAGGATTTTTGGGCCCCTATGTAAAAAGTGTTAGTGGGCCCCTCAGAGGAGTAGCGACACTTCCCGGCGACCGGGAACAAACTTTCGATATGTACCCCCCCCCCCCTTCCTCAGACTTCCGATTTGCACCCCCCCCCACTCAAACTTTCGATTTGCACCCCCCCCCCGTCTCACTTTCGTAAAAGAGCCCCTATTTGCCTTGGGCCCTATGCCTTGTTTACGCTAGCTTCACGGTAGCTACGCTACTGCATCGATTGCATGTAGGCTCTATCGATAACAATGATGGCTTGGTATCTTACTAAAGTTTTTAAAATATTATGATAAATAATCTATTTACCTCCTCAAAATTGTTGAGAAAGACAATAATGATGCTGTCGATAACGGTAAGCATGGAGATGATGAGGAGGATGAAGAGGTAGAGGGTCAGCTTTGGTGTAGTCAGTGAGGAGCTGGGCAGTAGAGAGCTGACGATGCTCATGTAGACAGAAAGAGACAACAACACTGTGATACCTGTAGTTTAGGATGAAATCGAGGATGTTTTCAAAGTTCATTTTAAAAGACACTTGTTATCTTAAATAAATAGAAGCCTTTACTGCAATAATGCTTTAGACATAGCAATTTTGAGCATTACTTTTCTTAAAAAAAGAATTTATCTTAATACAAAGTGCATTTAAAAGCTAATTATGCAAAGTTTCAAAAATTATTTTATTAATTTTAGTAATGCGCTGTTAACGAAGCCCACATCACATAAGACTAAAATAATTTACTAATAATAAACAGAATATAGATATCTTTGAAAGGCAAGCACCTGCGCTTCTTAGACTGTAGTCGACTATCAGACAGAAGACAAAAATCCGTAACCAACAATTCACCGTCTTCGGATACATAATTGAGTGGTCGCTAATATTTAATCTAGTGATCTCTTTCCATTATATAATTGTGAAATATTCAAATGAAATTATAATAAGCAATCTAATGTGTATTTAGATTGGAAACTAGATATTCTTGAACTGACATCAGAGATGAATGTATATGGAAATTTAGAATAAATTTCCAGAATCAAGAGTAATATAAAATGGATTCACAATATTTGCCACGAAGATATATACAGACAAGTAAACAAACATATGATGTGAACTAAAGAAAAGCGCATATAAACTAATGTTTTATAAACAGTTCCTAGAACCGTTACTACCATTACTGGAGACTCACCATAACCAATTTTCTCACCAGACTCCACGGGAATGACGAAGACGAGCAGATTGAGGAATGAGAGAAACACGACAGGGAGGATAATATTGATGAGGAGAAAGGTGGGTCTCCTCTTCATGAAAAATGTTATCTGAAACGGTGATTAATAGACCTCCATAATGTTAAATAAAATGTGTGTATGATTTTGACAGAAAAACAACTGATGATTATTTTATTATAATTCACTCTTCATCCAAAGAAAACTCCTTTGTAATGATACAACTTTAAATGAGTTGAACATGAAGAAATTAATGTTCTTTCTTAAATTAAAAAAGAAAATTAGTCGCTTATGAAATCTCTTTCACATTGTAAAACGTATTAAAGCTTAATACTTTACTTTTAAATGTTTCTTTTATTTTATGCTTTTTAAAAAGTAATTATGAATATTTTAGAAATTAAAGCGGTAACTTCACGGACGATATCTTTTTATCAACAATGCAATCGATTTAGTACAGAATCCTACTCTCATCAATAAAATACTGGTAAAAGACATTTGATAAAACTTCCATCAAACAAGTAAAGATATGAAAACCGTCCTAATCTTCCATCACTTAACAAAAGGTACATAACATTAACTAAAACTTCTTTTAATAAAGCAAAGGCAATTAATTAAAGCTTCAATCAATAAAAAAAATGTAAGTAACACTTTCTAAAACTGCCATTAGTCGATAGCACGTTCGAAACTTGAAATAAATCTTACATATATGGAGGACATATTCCAAGGCCCGGAGCCTATCTGCGATATAGTCACACTTGAATCCATGTACTCCCATTCTCCATTTATCGTGAAAAAATTCAGAGAAACTTTGTTTGTCGAGGCTACGAACTTCATTTCTTTTAGTAAGAACGTCATAGCTGCAATCTGTAAAAACATTCGAATGCATTTTTAATCACTTCATACATGGCAGGACAGCTCATTTATTGTCCATATAAAACATAACTTGCTTGTTAAATAAAAAGTTTCACTTTATGCTTGGCTTGAACTAAACACCAACTTTACATGTGCAATTTTACGGTAAAGCTCTTGGTTCCTAAACCGAGAAGTTTAACCCCCCCCCCCCCGACAGATGAGGCTTGATATCTCATTTGAGGCTAGATATTTGGAAACAGCAGCCCATCTAAAAAAATACACTCCAAAATCAAACAACTGCTGCCGTGTTTTTTCCTTGGACAAACGTTATGGAAATAATTCCAGAAAGTACAACAGACTGAATCGCAGTCTACAGGCCACATGGGCCATAATATGTTGACACGTAATTTTAATTCAATAGCTAAAAAAAAGAGAAAAGCATTTCAATTCTCTCAAAATAACAGATACCTTTACTGTACAGCTCTGGCTGTCGAAAGGGTAGTCCGTTAGGTCAAGCTGACAGGAAGTTGTCAACAGTGTCCCTGGTGCCCAGGATGCTGACCCATCGCTGTAGACGAACATGGGGCTTGGGGAAGAAGATAGTTTTATCATGAACACAGTTTTAATGAGGAGAAAAGTATTATGCGAAAATATAAAACTTAAATTTTAAAAATAATGAATACTGTATTAAAGGAAACACACACACACACACACACACACATATATATATATATATATATATATATATATATATATATATATATATATAGTAGGAATTGTTAGATAGTTAACTACTTAGCTCATATTAAACCTGTCCCATCTCGTCCCTTTGTTTTGCAAATGGAACTTACGGTACAAGTTGCTTCACAGGTACTTACGCAACGTCATCACCAAAAGGGTCCCGGTCCCCTAAGGTGTTCATGATGACCACACGTGGTCTCCAGATGTCCTGTGGGACCGGATGTATCACGTCCTGTCCTCCATATTGGTCCTTGTCCCATTTTAGCTTCTAAAATTAATTTTTAATAGTGTAATTTTTAACCACGTTAAATAAAGCTTTTCTTTATCATTGTAGGCCTATTTCTCTTTAAATAAAATGTTAATTAGACTTATTAATGTATATATTACAAAAATTTGGCAATTAAAAATGATTTTCTATTACATTAAAAAGTACTCTGCTGATTATTGAAAAAAGAAATTAATCAATAAATCATTAGGCCAATAATCGAATTTGCTGCTAATATTTGAGAGCGATAAAAACTTTTGTGTACAATATGGCTTGAAAAGAGTATGCTTTCAATCACAAGTCTTCTACCTCTCTCATTCTCTTTATCTTCTTTTACACACACACATATACATAATATATATATATATATATATATATATATATATATATATATATATATATATATATATATATTTATATATATACATATATATATATATATATATATATATATATATATACATATATATAAATATGTACATAGACAAAAAAATCAAATTATGTAATATCTATAATCTCTCTCGCTCTCTTTATCTCTCTCTCACTCTCTCTTTATATATATATATATATATATATATATATATATATATATATATATATATATATATATATATATATATATACATATATATACTGATATTATATATATATATCCTAATAATGGGTTATAGTTTTAAAACGAATAGATGCCTGAGAAAACATACCTCATCTACCCAGCCAAATCCCAGAAAACCGTTACAGGTAAAACTCTGCTTGACGTCATCAAGCTCGACCACCGACAGCAGTTCAAACATTACACTGACCTCAAGGGTCGCTGTTTGGTTGACAAGAGGCCTAATCTTTGGGTTGTATCTGGCACTGTTGAGCACGTCGTTAAAAAGAGCCATGTTATCATTGTAACTCTGGCCTTGAACGCACGCAAGTAAACCAACAACCATTAAACTCAAACCGCAATTGAAAATGTGAATGTGCATTATCATGCTGTCACCAGAGTTGAGTAATTCAATAATCCGACTTCACAATACGTTCCAGTTTAATGTGAGCGCAAGCCAAACTCTTATCGAATGTTACCCAGCAATTATTGTTGTGCTATCGTTTATACCATAATCTAAATTTAGAAACTAACTCAGAATTTCAATAGTCGAACTCTAGATTGCTCTGCACACATAATTGTTGTGGTTGAAATCAATGGCGTCAACCTGGGAGGTTCGTATTGCAGGGGTGTACTTTGAAATTTCTGAGTAGGGGATTGTAAAATTAATCAGAAAATTGCGCTGTTTTGCTGTTGTTTTGTTTTTAATTTTGTAAATATAGATTTAAACATATACCTAAGATAATAAAATTATACGAAAAAAAAACCGCTAGAAAAGCAGGTTTCTAGAAAGACACTAAAAACGAAAAATAAAGCTGAAAAAAAGTTATTTAAATATATAGCAATCTACTTTTCAATTATGTAACTAGGAAAGCAAGACGTCATATTCATTCAAAGAAAAACGATGCATTTTCTTCTTTTCAGTGCATATTAAAACCATTGATGTTGACGTACATTTTAGTTTTAATAAAAATCTAATCGAACGCTTTAAATAACGATTTAAATATCTTAAAAATCCAAGTTACTTTGTAATGTCATCGAATATGTGTCAATGTAAAAAGAAATCGGTTAAGCATGACTTGGGTTGAATTTGATTCTCGAGTTTGACGCATGTCGAACGTACAACAAAAACAAAGAATAACAGAATGAAGTAAAATAAAAATTTGTAAAAAGAAACCCAATCATTGAATATAACAAACATATTGCAGGTAGTCTTAACGATTCGGAATTTGGGCTAGTTTTTTATTTTATTTCTCTTTGGCATTGTGTATCTTTATTTTTACTGCGCTCTGAATATTTTTTCTTACACATACGCTTGTGTATTCGATCTTAAATTCGATTGTGTATTCGATCTTAAATTCGATGACAGCGCCACTTCAGTCTTTCTGCTTTTATGATGTAGTCAATGTATTTCACAGTTTAAAATTATGTTGCTAGTTGGGTCCATGAAGGTTTAGTTCTCATAAACTTAATAAGGGGATCGAGATTTATCTGCCAGTGGGTTTGAACTCGAGACTTTGTTCGAATTTATCAACCATGAGCTTTTTTGCCGACTCGACCACGCCTCCAACACAATTAAGCGTTACGTGTCAACTGGTTATGCGCCATTGAGGCCATTGACTCCGATTTCAGCCTGCTTTTCTTTTTGGATTTGCTTCCATAGCCTTTGTCCGACCAAGAACAAACTACAAGGCAGCAGTTGTTTTAATTTTGGAGTTGTCTCTCCTAGAAGAGTGGCTATCCCCAGCTAACGAGCCTCATCTGCCCGAGGGTTCGAACTTGAGACTTTTCGGTTTAGCAACCATGAGCTTTACCGACTCGACCACGCCGACCCCTTATTTAAGTTGATTACACCGACGATAAACTTCGCGAACCTCTAAGAAAACCCAAAGTTTGAGAACCCATGCGCCAGACTATGTTTCGGTGAAAGAAACATTTCAATCCTGGGCTAAGGAAAAAGACCGCAGGTGCCCAAATATTGTCGGGGTAGCGACCCCTTTTTATAAAAACCAAGATATGTTCGACACCGACTTAGTTGAAAAATACTTATTTAACTTCGAAAAAATGAAACTGTCCTATCCTATAGCGAATACTGTTTTAGTTTACTGTATAAATTGGCGACCCATTTTTAACGCGTGGTGGTCGACCTTAGAAACTTATGGAATATACTCTCTCTCTCTCACCATATATATATATATATATATATATATATATATATATATATATATATATATATACATATATATATATATATATATCTCAAAGAAATGTGTAGCCGTGTCTTGGCCCAAGAAACTGTGCGTCTACTTTCTAACATATGAAATTGACAGTCCCCAGCTAACGAGCCTCACCTGCCCGAGGGTTCGAACTCGAGACTTTTCGGTTTAGCAACCATGAGCTTTACCGACTCGACCACGCCGACCCTAGAATGAAATGCCATTTTCCAGATCCATTAGTTAAAGTTAAATAGTCTTCTAAGTACAAATCGAAAATTATATCAAGACCACGACGTAAACGTAAACTATAAAGAAAACAATGCTACATCCAACTGTATTATAAACAGACTGTAGATAAACATCGTTACTATTAAGTCAGCAGTGATTAAAGCTTAAACACGTACGTGTACCAGTATGTGGCATATATATATAAATTTTAGGCCTATGTAGGCCGACACACACACACACACACACACACACACACATATATATATATATATATATATATATATATATATATATATATATATATATATATATATATATATATATATATATATATATGCTTTGTTTCCTGGGAGGGGGTGACAATACGAAGTGCCGCACCGGGTGAGACCCGACCTAGCGACGCCACTGGCCTAACGGCTGACGAAGGGGCCCACTGATAATTTTTGCATAGGGGCCCAAAAATCCTTGCTACGCCACTGCACTGACAATACCGTGTCTGTATAGACTAAGTCTCCCGGCAAAGCGGTCTCATTGAATATGACATCTGCCAGTGGGACCCCTTCATCAATATTCTTTAGAGTTAGCTTATCCAACACTCTTATGTAATACAACGTATGCATCTCTTGTTCGGCAGGCCTTATTTTTATATTAGTTTATCTATTATAAAATATAGTATGTTTTAATTTAAGGGTCATCTATCTATGACATCCATAATTGAGTCGGTTATAGGCTGTTCCAACTCATTGTGTGGGGAGAAGGGTCCACGCTGTACCTTCCTAACTGCAATATGCTTGTACAGGGGCGTAGCGAGGGGGGGGGGGGGGCGGGGTGCGGACCGCACCGGGTGACACCATTTAGGGGGGTGACACAAAGGCAAAAAATAGCAAAATATATAGAGAAAAAGTTGAGGGGGTGGGGGTGCAAATCGAAAGTTTGGGGGGGGGGGTGCAAATCGAAAACTTGAAAGTTTGTCCCCGGGAAGGGTCGCAACGCCTCTCGGGGGGGGGGGGGGGGGGGTGTGATACCATTAAGTGCCGCACCGGGTGACACCTGACCTCGCTACGCCACTGTGCTTGTAGGTTATCAAAACAAAATGCTTTTATCATGTTAACATCATGTACATCATACATTTACACTTCTGTGCTCGCTTTTAAGCAACAGATCTTTTCTGTTGTAAATTAAACATTATCAAAACTTTAGAATTGGTGGAATTTAGCTGTTAAGGGCTCGATTTGTTTGTGAATTAATGTTGGTTCATGAAAAAATAATTTCATTCGGGCATTAAAAAGAGGTTATGGTGGTATTGGAGGTAGGACACAATGGTTATATCATTCATTTTTCTGGAGCCAACATGTCGGGAGTCATTTTGTCAAAAGCTAATATGTCGGGAGCCCAATTGCCTGGAGCCAAAATGTCGTGAGCCCATTTGCCGGGAGCCCATTTGTCTAGAGCCCTTATGTCGGGAGCCAATATGTCGGGAGCCGCTTTGTCGGGAGCCAATATGTCCTGAGCCTATTTGTCAGGGGTTAATATGTCGGGAGTCCATTTGTCGGGAGCCTAAATATCGGGAGCCCATTTGTCGGGAGCCTATATGTCGCAAGTCAATATGACGGGAGCCCATTTGTCGGGAGCCAATAAGTCGGGGCCCTTTTGACGGGGCTATTTTGACGGGGTCGGTTTGTCGGGAGTCGATTTGACGGGGTCGTATTTACGGGGCCGTTTTGACGGGGCCTATTTGTCCCGGGCCGTTTTGACAGGGCACCGGATAGAACAATTAATCGACCTGCTTGTCCGCTCAATTTTAGCCATAAGTTTAAGCAACTGCATCAATAAATTTAATTTTTTCCTCCTTTATTTGACTACACACAAAAATAAGAGATGAAAATATTTGGATTTTAAGAAATGTCCGTAAAAATCGATTCTAAATAGTTTTAAAATAATAATAAAGACGTCTAATTAATATTTGCTATATGGCTGATGTACACAGAGCAAACCCGACAATTACGAACAATGCGTTCAGTTGTGTGCTTGGTTTGTATTTACTGAGTGACACGAGATATTTACTTTTAAATAGGGTTTTGCAAATTTATATTGTATAATGCTGTTGTATATTCAAGAGGTTATTTAGTAAAACAAAATAACGAGAAAACTCAAAGAAAGAGAAAATCGAACCGTTTTGACAAAAAATCTTCGTCGGTTAAATAACCTTTGTTCGTAGAATTGACTAGTGGCGGTTTAACAGTCGCGAACTGCCATGCCTTAAAGTTAAGGTTAAGGTTAAGGTTAAGGTTAAGGTTAAGGTTAAGGTTAAGGTTAAGGTTAAGGTTAAGGTTAAGGTTAAGGTTAAGGTTAAGGTTAAGGTTAAGGTTAAGGTTAAGGTTAAGGTTAAGGTTAAGGTTAAGGTTAAGGTTAAGGTTAAGGTTAAGGTTAAGGTTAAGGTTAAGGTTAAGGTTAAGGTTAAGGTTAAGGTTAAGGTTAAGGTTAAGGTTAAGGTTAAGGTTAAGGTTAAGGTTAAGGTTAAGGTTAAGGTTAAGGTTAAGGTTAAGGTTAAGGTTAAGGTTAAGGTTAAGGTTAAGGTTAAGGTTAAGGTTAAGGTTAAGGTTAAGGTTAAGGTTAAGGTTAAGGTTAAGGTTAAGGTTAAGGTTAAGGTTAAGGTTAAGGTTAAGGTTAAGGTTAAGGTTAAGGTTAAGGTTAAGGTTAAGGTTAAGGTTAAGGTTAAGGTTAAGGTTAAGGTTAAGGTTAAGGTTAAGGTTAAGGTTAAGGTTAAGGTTAAGGTTAAGGTTAAGGTTAAGGTTAAGGTTAAGGTTAAGGTTAAGGTTAAGGTTAAGGTTAAGGTTAAGGTTAAGGTTAA